GCAGCAAGATTTTCTTATTGTTTTTCCACACTGGCAGCTCCATCCAATTTCCATCGTCTGCAAGCCTGTCACCTTTATCCACCCGCAGACAGCCTGTCGCCTAGCACCCAGGTGCCTTGCCCGAGAGGTTGTTATTGTTGACGGGAGGTGGGCCTTGGGTTCTCATCTTCCCTAGGTACCTAAGGTAGGTTAGGTAAGGTAAGGTAGAGAGGTTCACTAAAATTGGGGACCTTACCATACCTACCTAGGTAGGGACCATGCCCGGAATTATAGCGAGCTATGCCTGTACTACAGCGGCTGCATCCACTGCGACCGCTGACTGGCAAGACGCGCTGGGCCAAGCAAATTTGGCCGGTTGCTGGAGAGAGGTCTGGCCCGTGCGTGTTTTTGGGCGAGTCCAACTGGGATTAGCGCTGTTGTTCCCCTCCCAAACTCGTCAAGCGCGACTTGGGTCCTGGCCATGGGTCCTTGGGTAAGCCCGGGGGGGCCACGGTCTGGTAAGAGTGGACGACGGGGGGGAGCCTCTCTTCCCAGTGTTCCCACCACACACACACGCACACACACACACAACACCAACCACTCTCTTGATTAAGAAAGCTCTTTCCTCTGCACATTCACCACACACCTCTCAGGTGCTGCCCTTCACGACGACTCCGACGACGATACCCTCCCCTCCTCCTCCTTTCTCTTCCACTCGTGTGGTTTTTTGCAACTTCTTCTGGGCTCAAACTCCGTCTTCAATGTCTTGGTGAACTTGTCGACACGGTCTCTGTTGGAACGCGTGAGCGACGTGTAGTAGCCTCCCACGTCGCGTGCTTGTCCACAGAGCAGCAAACCCCCCCCGCCTCTCGCAGCCACCACAACCACCAACACAGATACTCACGTTCTGTCTCGTCCTCTCTCTCATTTGCAGCGCCTCCGAACCACTCAGACCCGACCGATAATATTTCAACAGCCTTCTCACATCAAACATATTGATTGGGCATTTTTATGGCAGCCATATCCCTATCACCGAATCCCATCCCTCCTTCGGCCATGTCCACCAGACGAACGCCTTTGTCTAGCAACCCCAATGTGGTCAATTCACCCTTGAGAGCCGCTTCTGCTCTGGCTCACGCCAAACAGAAGCGCTCTCATGCCAACATCCAACGGGAGGAGCTCTACGCCCAGCCGCCCCCGTTCAAGAAGCAGGTTGTCGAAAATGTCGGCTCGCGTCAGCTTCGGTCGCCCTCCAAGGTCACAAAGGCTTCCCAGCTTCCCCAGCGAGTCGGCCGTCCCATAACAAAGGAACGATCAACACACCACGATGACTCTAGTAACGTCGAGAGGATCCGCCAATGGCAGGCAGAGTACCGCGGGAGGTTTCCCAAGATGGTCTTTTACTTTGATAGTGTCCCGGAAGACCAGAGGGCCAAGCTTACCCGTCAAGCCCAGTCTCTTGGAGCCGTATGTGCAAAGCTTGCCAGCCATCATGTTGTTGGCTTCTATCCACTGACAACTTCTTGTGTAGAGAGACGAACGATTCTTCTCTAGTAGCATCACCCACATAGTGACCGCCCGACCGATACCTGCGCAGGAAGACGTGCAAGCTGCTGCACACGACGCCGAACTCGAGGAGCAGCCTCAAACCATCAACCCTTCCCTTCTCGACCGGTCTACCGATGCACGAAGACGTCTTCTGCTAGAGACGACCTCGAGGCGAGCTCAAGCTCACGATGACAGAACCCGGAGGACGAGATCAACCCAGAGCAACGATGTTCTTCACAAGGCTCGGGACATGGGAAAGAAGATTTGGCCGGTGGAAAAGTTCCAGAGGATATTGCAGTTTTTGCTGGAGCCTGACCCGCATGTCGTCGCGGCATATGGCGCCAACCGCGATTCTGCAAGAAACGTAGGGACAAAGAAGGCTACAGAGGAGCCCGGTCTGTTGCAGCTATTGCAGCATGAGCGGCTGAACGGTCCCTCGGATGCTGTCACGAGCCGGGAAATGATCAACTTCAAGGGGCCATATATCTACATCTACGACATTGACGAGAAGCAGAAGCCTATCATGGTGCGGGAGTATCCCAAGGTCAATAACAAGTACCACGGCGAGTGGCCGCAGTTCAGGACTGTTACCGAGGGCCGATGCCCATTTGTCGAGGAGCCAGAACCCGTTGAACGGCCCAGCAGGAAACCGTCAACGCAGCAAAAGGATCCAAAGGAACACAAGGAGCGTGTCGCCAAACCTGCGGCCAAGGAGAGCCCGTCTCTCCAGCCTCCCGAAGTGCCTGCGCCAAAGGCAGCCATTGGTAAGCGCTCGCTTTCTGAGATGCAAGAGGGCCAGAACAAGTTGCGGGCTGCCATGAAGCCTATGGATGTGTTCAACCCTCCCAAGGCCGTGGTATCAAACCCCATTGATTTCGGCCGGACTCAACATGCTTTCACTGGACGGACTGGCAACGGGCGTTTCTTGGCCGGCGAGCCCGTCGCCTCTGGATTGCAGCCGTCAAATGTGACTTCGGCTATCCGGTCGAACATGATCTCGTCCACCTCTGGCATCAACGGAGCCAAGGCCGGTACGAGTAAGGAGGTGCATGGTTTGCAACGCAAGGTGTTGCAGCGGGGTGCACCCGTTCCCCAAGACGCCAGCTCCCGGCGGCTCACGGAGATGTCTCTGGAAGCGACGTCTACCAGATCTACTAGTGTTTCTCGAACCACCAGCAGGCGTATGGAGCTCATTGAGGAGGACGCCGAGAAGCAGAGCTCCAAGCTCTCGAGAACCAGCTCAAAGACACAGGCTCCGCCGGCTAAAAGCAAGCGCGACCTGAAGCCGGGCTACTGTGAGAACTGCCAGGACAAATTTAAGGATTTCGACGAGGTATGTGGAGAGTGGGACTTGAATAATAATACTGTCACGCTAACAGCTCGAAGCACATTCTCACACGCAAGCATCGCAAGTTTGCCGAAAATACTGACAACTGGGCCGAGCTGGACGACCTTCTCAGCCAACTGGGCCGGGTTCCCAGATACCGATCTAAACACTCACGCGACGACGAATACACGGACGACTCCTTGTAGACCAGGCCAACCCATGGACTCCTCGTCATGTCGCCCAACACTTTGACACCGACTCTGCCCTGCTTCCCAATGTTCTTCTCGATCCCCCACTTGCCGCTGCAATGCACGGCGCATTATCATCAAAAAGCTACGGATACGTTCCACTGTTGTGGAATCAATGATACCAGTAGACTGTCCAACATGAAACCATGTTTGGTTTCCGGTCATGTTTATTTTCTCTTCACTTCGTCTTTCACTAATAGGTCGGCTCGCATTGATATCATTGCATGCACAGTGGCGTTTGGCATGGATTATCTTATACCACGACGGCTCAATTTTCCTTTTATTTTCTTTTGGGCGCGGGCAGGGCGGCGGCACATTGTCGGCCATCAGCATCATTACCACCAGGGGCCGTACATGCGATAGGAGGAGAAACTAGGACGGCGGGTCTTAATGAACCACGGTGTAGATATCACATTGAACAGTCTATGCTTGTGTATATTGTACGTTGAACACGAAAAAAAAGCTGCATGGTTTGGGAAAGTAGGATGCTGCGGGTGCCGTGAAGCAGCCCGGGTGTTTGTGTTATTCAGACAAGGCGTTGAGGATAATTCAAGCATTTCATACACCCCATCGTATCCTAGATGAATGTCATCGTGCATTCCAGGCTTTGATTATGTCACCGGGTCAGTTTGGAGACCAAGATCTATTAAGTGTCAGATCCTTCGAGCACGCAACGAACTAACAAGTACATCAAATCTCCGGATTCCGGGGGTGCATTGACAGCCACGATCTCGACTTCAAGAAGCTATTATGTATTCATTCTAGTCTCGTCACGAGAAAGGCACCGGCCTGCGTACCAGCGTCTTACAAGCGGCCCAAGCTTGGTCTAGATAGGTAGGTAGGCAGAACAACACAAAGTTACTTGTTTGAGGACCACTTCGGTTCCTGAAAATCATCGTCTCCGAAATGAGGTGAAGCAATGGGCATTCCATAGTGATGGGGCTCGTCATGCGAATTAAGTTTCGACGATGCGCAAGCTACATAGCTTTTACGAACCCGACGGTTCTGTTTTCCCACGCGTTCGTTCTCTCGGTTACACGTCAGGCGAAAAAGCTTCCATGCATCTACGTCCCTAGTGCTGCGCATTGCGCGTGCCGCACCGCGCGCTGAATGCCCCACCATCCCACGGGCCTCGTTTAGTGGGGCTGGTATGGACTTTGTCCAGCGGGGTCTTGCTTGCGGGGATCATAGTGCGCTTTCAGTTCGGGAAGATCATAATTCAGTCTCTATGGCTCAGTCGGTAGAGCGTTGGTCTCATATCCATCCATATGACTCTAGATCATCTAGAGATATCCAAAGGTCGCAAGTTCGAGCCTTGCTAGGGACAGTTACTTTTGCTCTTTGGGACGTATGAAGTCGTTTTTGTGCGAATTTGTTGTTTTTTGAGGGTTTGAGGTGGTTTGTTTGGTTGGTTGGTTAGGTGTAAATCGTCTTTTTTGACTGCTTGGCTGCGTCTGTCTTATTGAAGCACGACCGCCTATCCCGCTCGACTCTAACTAACAAATACACACACCATGCTATACCATACCTGTGTTGTTTCGCGCAACGCTTCATTCAATAGCCAAAATCTGTCCATATATAGCCGTGCAACTAATGAGAACGTGTTCTTTCAATAGTTGAGTCGATGAAGGAAAAGAGAATGGAGGTCGAATGCTTGGGGGTTGGCTCTATTTCAGCTTGAGTTGAGCTTCAGACGGCTCATTGCCACTTTTGAGTGCGATATATTATACTGAAATGCACACATGGATCATGCGCAAACACTTGACAACTCGTTCCAGTGCTCAGGATCCAGTGTCAAGTACTCAATAATATTCTACTTCTTCTTATTTCAATGGGGCTGAGTTTAGCCAATGTCTATCTTATATCTAAAGGTGAAGAGCCAAAGTCACCGCGAGACCTTACTCCTCCCGCTTCCTCTTCAGTCTTTCTTGTTCTCGCGCATTTACCAGCGACATCGGCAGGTACCGGTCATCAAACGGGGCATGGCTCGGGAAGCCGCGAGGCCGCGATCCGCTATCAGCCGGGGTTTCGGAAATATATCTTCCCAACTCTCCGTCCTCTTGAAAGAGACAGGGCAACAGTTTCTGAACGACGGTGGCCTGGCGAATTGCCTCGTAAATCTTTGAAACGCTGGTACCAATTGTACTGGACTGCTCTTCTCTAAGGCCCTGGTGAAAATGAACTTGCAATTCCTGGCGCACGAAATCATGGAGCGCTGCAGAGCCTAGGCCTAGGCCTTCAGGGTACGTGTAGTTCGATTTGGGGTTGTTGGATGGGTCGGCGACCCACGCTTCCATGGTCTGCCGGAACTCGTCTCGGACGGCCAGGACTTGCATCAATGAGACGCAACTAGATCCATCGTGGGCTAAGGAGTCCATGATGTGGGAGGCGGCTTTGGACGCGACAACCGAGCAGCGCTGGGTGTGGCTGTACTTGTTTGCCCCGTACCACCACACTCTTACCAGCTCGTCCAACCCAATTCTTGTCGTCGTTGTCTCAGTCGTCTGACCCTCGCTCTTGATGTCCATGTCTGCCGATAACAAGGAGGCCAGGTTCGTCACGGAAGGCAACAAAGATATGGAAGACAGGAATTTCTCGTGATAGGCTCTCAAGTCGGCTGCCTGGCAGCATACAAGGAGATGAGCGGCACACATGTGTGATAAGACATCGACGGCCTCCATGGTACGGCGGCCTGAGAGGAACGCAAGGGAGTTGATGCCCTGGTTGTGCATCTCGGCCGACTGGACGTGTGATGAGACAGGATGCGCGAGCGCAGCCAGCTCCGACATGTAGGCACTCATGTTGACGTCGATGCCCTTCATAGTATAGGACTGATCAGGGTCTCCAAAGACCAGGTTCGGGTCGAGACCGTTGTTCGTGGCCGGATTAATCAGCTCGGAGCACTGCGAGAAGAGCATGCGCCCGATCATCTGCAGCGCCGTTCTGGTCTTGTCCATGGCGGAGGTGATGGCGGTCGCTTGAAAGTTGCCTCCAGAGTACACATCACCTGCGGCCACATCGCCGACAACGCCTATGTCGATGACTGGGTTGTCGGAGGTTGAGTTTAGCTCGGTCCGGATCTGCCTATATGCTAGTTGAAGGTCCTCGAGATACGGACCCATCCACTGTGGCGCGGTTCGAGTTGAGTATCTGTCCTGCCATAGACCTTGGCCCGTCCGCTTCTTACCTTCCAGACCAGTCACATACTTGGAGGACTTGAGGAAGTTGCGAATATTGTTGGCCACCTCTTTCTGTCCATCGTGAGGTCGAATTCTGTGAATGAACTCATTGGTCCACTCGACGTTACCAAGTAGGCATTCGGATGTGAAAGCAGTAAGCCCCTGGGCGAGGACTGCGAGTTGGTTCGCTTCGTGAATTACCAACGCAGCCAAGGCAGCAGAGGGTGCAGTCCCGTTGATCAGGCCCAAACCCTCCTTTGGCTGCAGCTCAACAGACTGTATGTCATATTGTTTCAATGCATCGCGGGCAGACATGACTTTTCTGCTGAGGCCTGAACCAACGGTGACGGAAATGTTGGGGTCCCCAATCAGAGTCCCCGCGATGTAAGATAGGGGCATCAAGTCCCCGGATGCCGAGATGGTGCCTCGCAAAGGAATTAACGGCGTGATGTCGTGACGTAGAAGGCTGAGAAGTGCCTCGATAACCTCCAGCCTGACGGCACCATGGCCGCGGAGGTTTTGGTTCGCTCTGATTACGATGGCGGCCTTCACCTAAGCTGTGGGAATAACATGGGACTGTCCGTCTTGATCAACCTGACTGTCGGTCAGGTCAGAGGAGGCGATGATGGCGCTTTGGGTGTGTTGGAGCAGAGAGATTTGTAGTTTCTTGAGCTGCTCCGTCCGTGAGTCGGCGCTGCCGCCGAAGCCCGTGTTGACGCCATACACGACCCAGCCGTTTTCCACATGGTGATCGAGGACGTTGATACTCTGACGTATTCGGTCTCGAATCAGTTGGTCATCCTTCACGCGAGGAACGAGCCCGTGACGCGCTACAGCAATGACGGCGGGAACGTCGAGATACAAGCCGTCTAAGGAAAAGACAAAAGCCAAGCTTCCCAAGTCTTTGACATCACGCGTTTGCTTGCGCACGAGCGTAGCATGTGTTGTTGCCATATTAGTGGATTTGGGCGACCCTGGGGTACGACGAGATCAAGATCTTAAAAGGGGTTCAAGTTCTGTAGGCAAGGTTAGGAATTGAGTCTTGCTTGATTAAAAGAATGTTTGGGAAAAGAAACAGTCCAAAGTGCACAAAATGCGCCTTATAAATATGCCCATGGCCATAATGGCAAGCAGCATCTCCTTCGTGATTGTGTGGCGTAGGAATAAGGAAGGTGAGGTGAATCAGAGATGACTTCTTACGGTTATGTCACGTCTGGATGCCTCTCTGACACTAAGCAGGCCTGGAGAGGGGAAGTGAGAAGAAGTGAATTGCGACTGGTAGCCCGACTACGAGTTGGCTCTCCGCGGCAGAAGGCGTGGTCAAAAATTGCTCGCTCGGTCGAGTGTTGCTCACGGCATATTGTGCTCTCTGTAAGGTAATGGGCGCGGCTTATGCGGTGAGAGTGAGAGACGTCGATTCAGGGCTACGCGCCTGAAGCCGAGGGTCGTTGCATCGATTTCCTGCATCATTCTCTCCAAGTACGGTACTCTGCGATCATCGTGCATGCATGGTGCCAGATAGCCTATTGTCCAAACTTTTTGGCCTACGAGATTATCGGATTTGGTGCTCTTAATTTCAGTCGCCTGTAGCATCGCGAGGCCATGATGAAGAGACGGTTCGAAATTGGTCTAGACAGTTCCGTTGGATAAGTATGTAATTGATGGTGGGCGTGTAGTCGTATCTGGAGAACAGAAGGTTCTTGAGGTGAGGTGCTCGAGGTGCCTGGCAAGCCCGCCCAGGGCGCACTCAGGCAGTAACCACTTACGGGGCCCCGGTCAACCACCTGCTAAACCTAGCACACAATGAATGGCCAGTCTCACTCTTTCATCTCCAACCTCACCTCCTTCCTTTCTTTACGATCTATTCATCCGAACAACCTCCCTGTGTCTGATGACTCGGCTAGCTCAACATTGCTTTCGATTCTTATCCTAACTTACTCATCTAATACTTCTTTGACCACGCATCCACTCTAGATAGCAACGCAGCATCCGAAAATGGCTACCCCATCGTCGCCTGGCATCCCGAGGTCAGACTCGGCGTCACCTCCACCTGCCTCCATTCCAGATCGCCCAGCCTCTCCGGAAGTGCCACTCACCATGTCCGCCTCAGCCATCCTGATAGCTCAACCTCGCGATGTGGCCTCTGCTCTGAGCAGCGCAGGCGAGTATCCTTCAGACAAGGTCGTCGTCAAATTCAAGGCTGTCGGAAGTGCACCCTCGCTCGCTCGAGGGGTGGCCAAGATCTCATCTACCCAGACTTTCCACACTGTCATCTGGTATCTGCGCAAGAGGCTCAAGCTTCAAGAAACAGACAGCGTCTTCTGTTACGTCAATGACTCTTTCGCCCCCTCCCTCGACGAGATTGTCGGTAACTTGCATAGTGTACGTCCATGAAGCAGTTATTACTAATGGCAGATGCACATGCTTACATGCTTGCGATAGTGTTTTAAAGATTCAAGCGGCCAGCTTGTGATTTCTTATGCTATGAATCCAGCCTTCGGCTGAGATTAAGTATGCTATTACATGGTATCCTATGGCTGAACAACGATGAAAATGCCTCCCCCTTCTAGACTCCCAAACACCGGTAATGCAGCACGAAAGTGACGCAAAGCAACGATCTATTGACCACCGAACGCGGTCAGCTCCTTACAACTTTTCCAAAGCGCTGGTAAATTCCTCAAGCGCCTCCTTGGAGATGGGATAGGTGTGCTCGGGTGCAGGATACTGTCGGCTCTTAACCTCGTCCCGATAGGTCTCGATAGCACGAAGACTCTCGCTCCAGACGTCGCCGTACTTCTTGACGAACTTTGGCAGGAATCGGCCGGGAGGGAAGTTTCCGGTCATGTCGACTTGCACCAAGACCTGGCCGGAGCAGCCATTGCCGGCGCCGATGCCAATGGTTGGGACAGAGAGCTTTTCCGTGACAAGTGCTGCGACTTCAGCGGGAACAGCCTCGATGACCATGGCGAAAGCACCGGCCTCTTGTACGGCGAGTGCATCCTCAAGGAGCCTCAGGGCCCCGTCGGAAGTCTTGCCTTGCACTCTGAAGCCGCCAAGGGCGTTCTGCCGTTGCGGTGTCAGTCCCACGTGCGCGAGAACGGGGATGCCCGCGGACGTGATCTTCTGGATTGTGGGGGCCATCTCCTTGCCACCCTCGAGCTTCACGCCTTGCACGCGGCCCTCTTTGACGAAGCGGATGGCAGTTTCCAGAGCCTGTTCCGGAGCTATTTCATAGCTGCCCATGGGTAAATCGCCAACCTGAGTTTGGATCAGTACGATATTTGCAGATTAGATCCAGAGTAGACTTACAGTAAATGCGGACTTGGTGGCTCTTGCGACAGAGCGGCAATGAAGCAGCATTTCTTCTACCACAACTTCACTCGTGTCTTCCATACCAAGCGCAACCATGGCCAAGCTGTCGCCCACAAGGATAATATCCATGCCGGCATGGTCGGCAACGTGGGCACTGGGGAAGTCGTGTGCAGTCATGACTGTGATTGGCTCGCGCTTCTTGTACAGACTGCGCAAAGAACCAAGTGTGACTTTCTTTCTTTGGTTGGCAGAAGTTGTACCCATGGGAGAATGCGAGCTGTGTCGCATCTGCAATGGTTGCGTGACAGCGGAATACATGGGTCGCATCAGAGACGCTGCTGTCGAGGGTCGCGTGCTTCTCAGAAGAGAGGCACACGACCTCAGACAGGTACTTCGGATTGTAGGGAGAGACATATGGGCAGACAAGTACCTTTTTGTCTTGAATAAGAAGTAAACGTATGGAAGGGATATGCAAGTGCAGAAAAAAATGAGAATGCAAAGATGCAAATTTGGTCGTGATGATGCTGATGTTTTCAGTGTGGAGAGAAAAGATTAGGAGAAGTTTGCGTTGAAGGGCGAAGCGCAATCTTTTATTATCCAAGTCATGATGGTTTTTGCTGCGTAGAATTGAGTATCTCCAAAATTACCGGTGGTGTTTCGTTCCCGCCGCTTCGCTGGGCTGGGGGTTAGAGATGGTAAAAGCGGGTCGATCTCACAAAGCTGACCATACAGGTGCCGTGCTGGACGCTTCGCTGTGAATGTCCCCCCCAAGGTCCAGGGAACGGTGTCCGGTCCACCTGCGACCAACCTCCGTGATTGGACAAGGCGCCGAGGCACGTTCGGTGGTCCCCCCTCCAGAGTCCATCGCCGTCTCTTGACGGATACGTACCTTTTGTTCTGGGAAGGGATTAGTGAGCCGTGCTGCGCTTATCGTCCTGGTCCATAGGGCGTCAGTACCATGCTGATCCTCTCAGGGCCCGTTGCTGAGGTAAGTGAGCTAAGACCGAGGCAACTCTGCCTCGGGCCCAGCGGTTTCTGCTCTCGGCCCTCCGCGAGGACGGGCATTGGGATGTCCAAGGTTTCCCTTGGCCCAGATCGGGACAAGCTGGCTAGCGAACCCGACGCTTGGGATGATGGCGCTCGCGTGACTTGACTTTTTGGAGTCTCTTCTCGTTGACTTTTAGCCTTTAATATGGCCAACCGACACCGCTTTCACTGCGTATAAGTCCCCGCATACCTGGGTAGAAGGAAGTGACGAACGGCCGGTATCACGGATAGTCCCCCCCTCCCATTAGAAGACGGCGTTTCCTTCCTGGCTCGTGACAGCGTACAACCTTGCCCACGACTGCAGTCCATGCGATTCGTACTTGCGTGGGATGATGGGTTGTTCCTTGTAGAAATGTCTCAAGAGATCCCGCAAGCAGACGATGTCGTTGGACGGACCGGCCCTTGTGGTATTGCTTTTTCGTACAGCATCAAGGACTTACATCATTCTTGCGAACTCTACTAGTCGGGACTGCCGGTGTTTGCTGGCTGATCTGGCTATGAATGTCTAAGGTGAGTTGAGTTCAGCTGGAGCTGTATACTTGCAACCTGAAGCAAGACTGAATGCCGCTACAGAACCTGAGGAAATGACGATTGAATTCAAGTAACTCTTTTTTTTTTTGAAAGTATCTGCTGCTTTGTATGTAACCCTTCGATACTGGAGGAACGTTTTGCCTCTCCAACATCGACCCCCAGTTTCGACATTGTTCCTCCGAGACGATTAAGGCTTGCATTGTCCCGCATGGCCTTAGTCATGTAAGACCCCAAGACAGGTGGGCAGTGGGCTCTAACAGACAATAAGGGAACCTGTGTGGCTGGCAAGATCCGCGCCTAGCCGCCTAATCCTCGGACCCACCATTCCTTATCGTTGCACTTATCACTTATGGTCCGGGATCGCCCACATCATCATTGCGCGTGACTTGGCGTCAGGAACCCGATCCGACCTTCTCCTCCTCTCTGTAACCACCCACTGCACTCCTCACGATTTCAAGACCAACAACAAGCGACATCCCGTATAGGATATTGTCTCTCAAGACCCCGCGGCGAGACCTCATATATAGGGGAATCTCGACACTAACATCGATCCATCCTTCCCCGCATCCGTCCTACAACAACTCTACCCCGATCGAACAGTCGTCCGAACACCCCGCGCAACTGACAAGATGAGCAGCCCACGCAGAAGAATCGAGACTGATGTAAGTCTACAGTGCTACTGGAGTCTTTGTATGATAATTGTGCAGCAAGCTCACACCTTTGTCTTTGTCTTTTGTCTAGGTCATGAAGTAACGGCGCCCCAAATCACACCATACCTTTGATAGCTCGCTAACCTGACGCAGGATGTGCGATTTGCCAACCGACCACCTCCTGCTTGATATACTGACCTCTGTAGGTTGATGAGTGACTATGAGGTTACTCTGGTGAACGACAACAGTACGTTGCCTCCCTAGCCCATATTCAGAGCTGTTGCGACTAACGCCACGTCAAGTGTAAGACTTAAATCCATTCGACGACACCCTCCGATCCTAACCCCACCACCTAGGCAAGAGTTCTACGTTAGATTTAAGGGCCCTACCGAGAGTCAGTCCAACCAATACCCATGTATTAGTTTACTATGCTGATTCTCTGCAGCTCCATTCGAAGGCGGCGTCTGGAAGGTCCATGTCGAGCTTCCTGACCAGTACCCCTATAAGTCACCGAGTATCGGATTCGTGAATCGCATTTTCCACCCCAACATCGACGAGCTGTGAGTAGAGAACGTCCGACCGAGATACATATGGACGAAAAAGTGGTATGGGAGGGAGCAAAACAGAGCAAGGGGCTGATCTGTGAAATGGCTTAGGTCGGGCTCCGTCTGCCTGGATGTCATCAACCAGACTTGGTCGCCCATGTTCGACATGATCAACATCTTTGAGGTCTTCTTGCCTCAACTTCTTCGATACCCGAACCCGACGGACCCCCTGAACGGCGAGGCGGCTGCCCTGATGATAAGAGAACCCAAGAGCTACGACGCTAAGGTCAAGGGTGCGTCGACGCAATAGAAGGCAAAAAGGGGTCAAGATAGCTTGCTAACGAGGGCACAGAGTACGTCCAAAAGTACGCAAGCAAAGATGCTGCCGACGAAGCCGGCGCCGAGAGCGAAGACGACGACGACATGTCGTCCGTTGGCAGTTTCGGCGACGATGACGAGGAACCCGCCGGCCGCCTTGACGATGTATGAAGCGCACTCGGGAACTTTGAGGGAAACACGGCTAGAGAGAGCATTCATGGAAATGGCGTCGCAGGAGACTTATATCCCCCGGGTTGTGATTGGACTTGGCATTCTTGAACCCTCCTCAACGTGGTCCTGCTGAGGGGCACTTAGTGTTCCCTCACCAGCGAACAGCAGCGAGGCCAGGATTCTACCATCTTTGTGTTTAAGGGACTAGGAAAGGGTATTTTTATGGGAATCAGCTTTGGAGTTTTCACATGAGACAATCGCGGATAGGATGGGGGGTTGATTACGATGATGACCATTGCTCACGAGGAGAGCTGCTAAAGACCGATGGGGACGATATGGGCGTGCGCAGCATACATACCAACCCAAATTGGATTCCAATTTGTTCGATCAACTCGGACCAGTGGCTCTAGGAGCTACATTAGGTAGTCGTTTACAGTCATGCAAACAGCAATAACTGCCCTCTGTGACTCCAAGTGGCGTGTTATGGATGTGTCCTGAGTACGATGTGAGGGCGCATCTTCAAGAACATGTGCCAAACTGCACCTGAGATACGGCTGATGATGGTGTAGATGAGCTTGTCGAAGGTTCACATTCTGGCAATCCTCAATCGAGGATGCATCCTCGAGTTGATCTATGTAAAGAAAAAAAAAAAGCTTCTGTAGTAAAAATACAATGACGCCGATATAAATGTCCGGGGTATCTCTGCTCTAAATCATATCCGTTAAAACGCCACACAAACCAACCAAAGGTGCTCCTCGCACAATCAAAGTATAGAGGGGCCCCTTTTTCAATCCGAATCAGAATCGTACGCCACAAGCGACTTGGACGAAGGCGTGCCCTGCTCGGGCTCCGTGGTCTTCGGCAACTCCTGTTTCTGCTGCGCACCACCACCACCGCCGCCGCCGCCGCCGTCCTCATCACGCTTCCTCTTCAGCCCCGGGATCCTCGGCGCCGACGACCTCTCCGCCGCCCCCTTGGTCTCGACCAGGAACGGATCCCTCGCCATGCGCGTGTTCCCGACAATCTCGGAGACGATGGTCTCCCTCCTCTTGGAAGCGAGAACTTGGGCTTTGGGTATTCCCTTGGGCGGTAGCGCCGCTTTGCCAGTCGTCGTCGTTGTAGACTTGCCGTCCTTGACCGAAGCAGAAGGCCCAGGCGAAGGAGACGACGACGCAAAAAGCGGCTTCGCAAAAGCCTTCAGCCCCGCCTCGTCAACCCCCTCCCCAACGCCCCCAAACTCAACCAGCCTCGCTCGCCGCGCATCCTCCTCCGTCGCAGGCACAAGCTCGATCCCCAAGCTCATCTTATCCTTCAGCGCCTCGCCCACCGCGGCCTCCATCTCGCGCCGGTGCCGTCCCGCGCGGAACGTCGCGCGGAGCGCCTTGTTGCGCGTGTACGGATCGTCCCAGTCCCTTTTGGCAGCGTCCTGTAGCTCGTCGATGCGCTCCGTCGCCTGCGCGAGGTGTTGCCGGTCTTCAATGGTTTTCTCCAGGGAAGCGAAGGCGTTGCCGCGGAGCTTCTCGCGTTCTTCTCCGGTGAGGATGGCCATCTCCCCTTCCTGCGGCACCCTCCCCTCCTCGCCCGTGTCGCGCTTCTTGGCGCCCGAGACGACGACGTAGGCCGTGTTCTTGGGGTCCGTGTGGATCTCGATCCAGCCGCCGCAGTCGGCGTGTTTCATGCGGAACTGCCATATCGCCGTCGAAAAGTAGGACCCGACGCGCTTCTTCTCGGCGTTGAACCGGACGCCTTGGCCGATGATGGTGGGTTTCGGGCAGGTGGAGCACCAGATGGCAAAGGGCATCTCGAAGCGGACGACGAGGATTCCTGGTTTGGAGGCGCGGGCGCCGAGGGGGTGTTTGCGGGCGAGGGCGTTGCCTGTTGTCGTGCCTTCGTGTTCGGGCGGGACGTAGCGTCCCATGTTGAAGCCTTGCATTTTGGGCGAGGTTGAGGGGGGGTTTGCGATAGAAGTTCGAAGGAAGAGAGATTCGTGGGAGGTTCGGCTAGTCGTGTTGGTTGTGATCGTGATCGCGAACGGCCCGCGACGGTGTTCTTTCGGCGGAGTTGGTTTTTGGGAAAGTCGCGGCGGAGAAGGGTTCCGGCGGGGAGGGAAATCCCAGGCTTGTAGGAGTCGAAAGGTGGGATTTCGGAGATGGTGGGGGTTCTTGTTGCGCCGCTACCTTGGACATTTGGCGCCGGTTGTAGCGGGGCACCGGGGGGACAGCGGGATTACGTAATGAGACCTGCTCGGGAATTCCACAGAACCTTCACAAAATGCCATCGTTGGCCTCACTTTGACTTATACGTCGAGATCTATGCTATATGTTCTCAATTACTCTACCGGTAGTTTGTGAATTCGTTTCTGTTGAGAATTACATACAAATGGACCTACGTGTGCCGGTTAGCCGTCTCAAGTAGCATCATCACGCAGTGCCAGCTGCACCTTACACTCAAAGTGGTCATCACAGTCGTGATTTGGGGGTTCACAGCCACGCAGGACCGGCAGGCTGCGAGCCGCGATACTGGCCTCTTTCTTGTTCCGAACTCTTGCCTAAGGCCGATAATTACCGCTGTAAATGACGACGTAAGATGTTTGACTTTTCGTTGCCAGTCGTTAAGGCGAGGCTGATGGTTACCATGTCACCATCGATTGCGTGATTTCGGTTGAGTGCGTGTCTGAATACTTGAGGGTGCTGGTTCCGCCGTTTGAGGCTCGTGGAACCCCATGCTTTCTCTCATCAGCTTGATGAATGCGGCTCACGGCATTTCGTTTCCATCTCTCTTCAACAGGCGTACCCAAATGTTACTAAAAAGGTGAGATTCACCACCGTTTAGCCTGACCGACTAGGCGAGATATCAAGGTACCGTAACACGGTAGCAAGCACTCAAGGCGTGTAGGCTTAAACCATCGCAAGACATCAAGGTATGTATGATTTCATCAAAAAAGCTCTGCAATCTATGCTAATATGTAAGGCAAGGTATGGATCGCTCAACCTCCAAAAAACGATGCTACGACTTTCGTCCCGCTCAAAGATAATGGATGGTATATATCCCTCCCGAGTGTTTTGCGCCGAAACCGAATGAATCGCGTTGGGTTCCCCTTCTCGCATCATCGATCCCGAGCAAAAAGTAAAACAAAAATTCCGAAATATCATCAATATGAGGTCGTGGACGGCGGCCATCACTCTCTTTCCAACTTTCTGACATAGCCTTCGCGAGGCCCGCCGCCCATCAACCAATGGTATCCTGCAGATCATGATGCAATCCCAAAATCCTCCAAAAGAAAAGCTCCGTTCTCGTGGATGGCATCTCCCGCTTGAGCGAGTCTTCGTCTCTTCATGTTGTCATTATTCTCCCCTTTACAGCTTTAGCGATGGTCCATTTATCGCCGCTGCAGTCTACACTCTTCATTCGGCCAAGCCTGCCATACCCGACGTCGGGGCGAATGTCTCGTACATCTCGTCATCGCTGCTGTCCACACTGAGGGGGCTCTGAGCATTGCTCACATCGGCGCTTGGCAGTCCGCTAAATCCTCCTAGACTCATCGTTGCTGGCGCGCTCTGTCCAAGAGAAAGCAAGCCATTGTTAGCAAAGCTGCTACTAATGCTTCCAAGTCCGATATCCACCACACTTCCGCTGCGGCTCATTGAAGGCTTCTCAGGAAGTTTCTTGAGCAGGCCTGTCGAAATATCGAGCATCGTCATGGCAAACATGGTGAGACCTTTGCCTTCGCCAGGCTTCGAGCTCACGGATAACGTCCAGCGGTATTCGCCCAAGCGCCTACGGTACCAATCGGCTTCCTCTCGTCCTGGGGATGTCGCCCACAGAAGCGAACCAAATGTGCCGATGAGGGCAAAGTTGGTCTTGGACGCAAAGTACCAGAAGGAGCGAAGGTGCGAGGTGTTCAAACGGTTGACAAAATCCATTGCGGAAATAAGACGAGCCTTGGCCGCGCTTCGGCAAATGTGCTGAACATAGGAATCGACAGCCGACCCGGTGGCTTCGAGCGAACGAATGATACGGCGATGCAGTGTGATTTCGGCGGCGAAGTAAGCAAGGTGAAGATATCCGATGCTTGACAAACGACCTGGCGGGGCAGAGATTGACGAATACGTGCTGTCCATGCGAATGGCCGCTGGCAAACTGGCATACCATTCCTTGAGCTTCAGTTGTATGGGCTTCGCCATGCCCAAAACCAGATGCGTGCCTTGTCCACCGGCGTTGGTGACGTTTTGCATGGCCTGCAATGAGTAGAAGGTATCGAGAATCTCGGCAAGAATCTGCGACAATTGTACCATTTGACCAAACAATGTACGACCGCGTTCGATATCCAATTTCTCCTCCACGTCCTTCTCGTCCCACTCGACATCGGGAAAGTCATGATCCGTAAGTGGTTGGACACCCCAGTTGGTGGAGAAAATGTGCGAAGGCCGCCCATGAACGAGCGAACCCCATTTGTCCTGCATATACAAAGCCCAGGCGAGGCGTTTCCGCAACCCCTTTTCCCAAGGTGGGATTTTCCAGTGCGTACAGTCGAGGTGAAGGCCAAGCTCCTGGGCGGTGGCGACGAGCTGAGCAGTCGGAGCCCACTGGTCGCCTTCGGGTCGCTGGGAGAGAAGGAGACCGGCCTGGATGGTGGACAATTTCGGGCGATAAATTGCGTCGGCAAGAGTTGTCCGGATCATCCGCTCGAGGTTGGGAATGTTGGGTCGAGGGACTTGCGCGAGCTCTTCATCGTGCTCCCACCAGTTGATGGCAAACAGGTAAACAGCAGCTAGTAGACAAGGCGAAAATTCGCGGTAACTGCGCTCGTACTTTTCAAGGAAGACGGTCTTCTGAATAATCGGGAAGGCGGGGTGAACGATGCGGAAGTACAAGTCTACTAGTTTGCGACCATGTGGCCGCACGAGACCCTCAATTTCCTCGATATCCTCGAGGATATGCTCGTGGCCGGGGGTGTTGGAATCTGGTAGTAGCAGGAACGTGTCATCGTCACTGACCTTGCGCAGAGTGCCGCGCGCCAGTAGACTCTCATCTTGAGGGTTAAATGGTGACAGGTTGATGAGAGAAGGCTCGAAGTCGGTCGTCGGGCCTATGTACTGGCTGTAGCGATCATTTTGGAGACCCAGCGTCCGCTTGAGCAGAGTCGGGCCTCCGACATTCGCCATGTCTTCAAGAAAAGAGCTGCTTCCCGTGGTGCTGGAGAGGCTTGGTTGATGTTGCCTTCGCCTTCTGATATCGGCTCTAGCTGGTGAACTAATGGACCAATCACGTGTCAGAGATTAAGGTTCGTTATCAGACGTGCCCCCCTGACCGCGGCGTGCCCCCATGGCTGCCCAAGAAACATCAAACGGGCGCAAAATGCAAGCTCAAGCGGAAGCGAGCCAGGCTGGCGGGGAGGGAGCAGTAGGGGGACGGACTCGCCAATGTGGTTAAGGAGGGAGGAGGGGGAAATAGGCGGGGAGTAGTAGCAATGTGAGAGTGAGTATTGGTAGGAGAGGGGAGTGAGAATGAAAGCATGAGAAGAGGGGAAAATTGAGCAGACTGACCTTCTTTTACCACTGTCGTCAAAGTCACCGTTCAGCTTGCGTTTCCTTGGCTGGGGGCTGTTGAGCAAGGAACAATCGGATCCGCTAGCCTGGCAAGGTATGCAGCTATCTTCGTCTTCGCTCACGATACACTTGACCCTAGATCGTTGGCAGGATTCGCATGGGCTGAGTGAACGTGTGGTATATGAGCCAACAGACTCTGCGATTTCCCGTCCAGGCATGCTGCCGCCGCGGAAAAGTTCGAGGTTCGTGAATGCCTCTTGCAGATAAGAGTTCTGGCGGCGGGGAGGTTTTGGTGCAATGGCGATGGGAGCCGTCCTGGTGACGGCACTTGAGTTGGACATGATGGATAGGTAATGCGCGGCAGTAGAGACAATGCTATGTATATACAGGCAGGGCTGGGCCGACGCAGGGGAAGCAGACGGGCGGACGGACCCGGTTCGTCAAGTCGGGGTCCCGGGGCCCTTGTCTGGAGATTGGGGGAATGAAGCGGGCGTGAATTTACTCCCTAGGGTTAACCGGAGATATGACAACGGTGATAGGACGATAGGCTTCGTCAAAGGCCAAGGATGCAGACGGGAGAGGCTGGCACACACTCCCCGGGATGGAAGCTGGTTCAAAGGAGCCCCACGGCGTGCAGCAGATGGGATGGGATGCGAAGCAAGTGATGCAATGTCGCTCGTTGGCTTGATCCTGGTGCTGGTCCTAGGTCTGGGCCGCCACTCGAGATCGACGGCGGAGGAATAAGAATATCTGTGGTCGAGTTGACGTGAGATTTGAGAATTGTGTGCGTAGCACCAATGCAGGATCCGCCAAATGAGATTGGCTGGCGAGCGGTAATTCGATCTTGATGAATTCCTATGGGTGAGCCTGTGTTGTAACACGAAACAGCAGACGGGCCACCACAGGGACTGGACTGATAACGCTACGGTGCGCCGAGGCCGGTTGAGATAAGACGGGCTTGTTGGAACCCTGGGAGGCGGCAGCGGGCAAAGATGATCAGGTACACCAGCAGACGGACAACGGCCGGTAGCGATTGCGAAGTTTGGCGTGAGATGAACGGGGCCCAGAATGCTTCAAGGCTAGACGAGGTGGAACAAAGACACGAGAAGATTGTGTTTCCAAGAGCTACCTAGCAAGAGGCTGATAGGTATCCGTCCGAGTAGTGAGGCGCGTTGTGTCGCGTGCGTGCGAGGGGTACAAGATAAGGCGACAACGGGAATTGGGAACGGGATACTCTGTAAAAGGTAGGCGTTCCAAGTTCCAGAGACTCGAGAAGAGGTACTTCTCTAGGTATGTGTTGAGTTTGAGTGGTTCCTCGTCAAGATCTGGGGTGGGATGTAGAAAGTCCGAGGGGGCGCGGTGCGGTCGCGGCTTCAAGTTTCTTTGGGGAAAGGCAAAGATAAGGTAGCGTGCGCCGCAGGACAGGAGTGGCCAAGGCGGAACGATTTGCGCCCGTTTTTGGTGATGGAATTGTAATGGTGGTTGTACTTTTTTGGGGGGTGCGGTGCGGATGCAGGGCCGGAATTGGGGCCCGGGACTGGGAAGTAATCCAAACTTGGGATTGGATGGGTTGGATGAATGGGGTTTTGATGGATCGATATCGGTGGACTCTCAAGTGACGATGGCGGCAAGGATGAGATAAGCCTTGCTTATCGGTGTCATTGGGTCCCAGGGGCGGAGGAGAAAAGTATATGTAAGAGAGCAATGTCCAATGTCTCTAATGGCGCTTCAAGTATCCATTAATGGATGTGTCGGTGCACCAGGACGTCCTTGATCTTGGATCTTCGTTCTTATCCCTGGGTTCCTTGGAGAGCGTCCAGTTTGGGGGTTGGCCGTTTTTGTTGGAGACGGAGAAATAATTAAATTTTATGGGGATTGGGTGGCGAGAACGATGGATGGATGGGGTGAGCAGATGAGGAGGAGGATAGAAGAGGAGAGGGAGGGAGGGAGAGAGTAGGAAGAGGGAAAAGAAGAGAGAGAGGGAAAAGAGAGAGTAAGAGAGAAGGAGAAGGAAAAGAAAAAGCCAAGGTGGTTAAGGTAAAGAGCACACCTACTCCAGTCCAGTACTCCGTAAGGTAAAGAAAGGTCAGGTATGGATGGATGGATGGATGCGCAAGGGGAAAGAGAGAAAAACCACAGTAAGAAGAAGGAGGAACCTGACAAGATGGGATTTGCAAGCTCCTCCTCCTTCTCTCTTTCTCCTCCCACCTTTACGAATACTCATTCTATTACCGGCCCAACCACGTAAAAAATGAATAACAGAATGTAGGTGAGAGAGATATGGTACCCAAACACTGACACGCCCAGGGGACTTCAAATGCCGGGTGAAGGTTTTTTTTTTCTTTTTTTTTTCTTCTTGCTGTTCTTTTTTTACACTGCCGCTGCCCCTCGTACAGTGGTTCACTTTTTTCGATCAATCTTTGATCGACAGTGTTGCGGTTCCTCTAAACCCGCAAGGACAGACAGAGAGAGACATACTAAAACAGAACGCCGCTTGACACAGGATCTGCCGTGAGAGAGGAGCACAGTCAGGATTGGATGGGGCTCCAACCAGGAAGGGTCAAAGTTCCTGACCGCCGGCGGCCTACTGCAAAGATGTCAGGCAGGCCCGGCCAAAGTCTCTTACTCTACCCCTTCACTATGAATGGCACGTCTCGCGTCGGTGGAGGAAGAAGCAGGAGGGTGTATTGGAAGAGGAGGCGCGGCAGTATCTGAGTGGCCGGCGGGCGTTGGTCTCAATGGTCCGACTAAAGGACCAAGCGGCGGAAAAAGACATCGAGAAAGAATGGTCCAAACCTTGGTTTGATGGAGTATGGGGATCAAGATGGAGACAAGAGCATGGGCAAGGACATGTCGACTGAGATGGGACGGGACGGGATGGCATGGGATGGAATGGGACGGACACCCTCCTGGCGTCCCTTTTGCCTCTACTCTTACCGCACCGCAGTGCAGTCTTCTTCTGCAGCCTGGTGCCTGCCTTGCCCTCACCGACACGAAAGATGTGCAAAGCGGCAGCTGCAAATGCAATACCTGAGGAGACAGGCATAGGCATGGCTTGGCATCAAGGAAAAAAGTCTCAATGAGACGAGCAGGAGAGAGAGCGAGAGACTTTGTCCGTGTCAGTGAAAAAATGACATGGGGAACTCCCGGCTAACGAACCAAAGTCAAGAAACAGGGCAAAAGGGAAAAAAACATAAAGAGAACAGGGTAGGTAGGCCCGGGGCTGTGCTTTTCTAACATCCACGCCCAAGATACGCGGGGGGTGTAAGTGTCGGATCGGTTGTTGAACAGAGCCAAGCCAGAGACCACCCAATTACGGAGGAATGAATTACCTTGCGGCTCGCCAGGAATCGAACGACGAGGCGCGCGTCGATGCGGCGGCCGATAGTAAGGTAGACAAGAAGGCGCAAAAGGTAAGAAAGTGTGGTAAGAGAAATAGACGTCGGGTGAACAATAAGAAAGTGACCAAGTGATCTATCGCTCAAAGACGAGACCAGGGTACGGTGAAGCACTTGGAGACGTCAAGGCATGTTAGCCGAGCAGGTCTAGCCTCTACGCAGTAGGTCTAGGTGACATATTGAACGTTTGATAGCGATTACGTCGTACCAGGAGCATCAGCACTCCGTAGAGGCCACCGGGGATTTGAATGGTAGCAGGGAAGTGTGCTTGAAGGCGCGAGGCTAAAAAGGCCGCCAGGGCCGTTTTCGTTGCATTCCGCGTGAAAAGAAGAAAGGTGGACAATGGAGAATAGGTATGGAGGACTCTCCGACTCACAAACTTTGGTCATGGTGACTTTGGTGATGGTCACAGCCTGGTGGCCGGATGGGAACTTTGAAGGGTAAATCTCCACAAAAGCACATGGCAAAGCGTGCGACTTGTCGACCCTTCGGCCCTGTCTGGCACGATGACTGGGTCGTCGATGCTGGGAATGGCATGGGGGAAGGGAAGTGATGGTGTCGATGGAGGGACGGAAAGATAAAGCACGAGACATTTGGGAGGGGAGATGGGCGCCGCCTTATCTCTGTCCATTCCGGGGCAGGCGTTCTAGAAAGATGCTACGAGACAGAAATACATAATGGCAAATGGGCAAATCACGGCTCATATATTTCATCTTGTCTTTTGGGGCCCTTGGGGTTTCCTCAAGCTTCAGCTCCATAGTGTAACCCCGTCACTCCGTCACTCCGTACCCGTGCCTACATTGCAAGGTTGGAGGGTACATGCTTCCCAAGACTCCGTAAGGTACCTAAAGTATGGAAGGTAAGGAAGTCCAAGGACTCCAAGGTGGTGGTTGCTGCACGATCCGAGTCGGCGGTACTCGGGCGGAACATGGGGCCCCACCATTGACTACTGCCATTCTGCAGCTCACTCGCCGCTTCTTGCCTCGACCGGCGCTTGTAGCGCAGACGTACATTCCTTCCTGCGTAGACCTGGAGACTGGAGTGAAGTGCCCTAGGCGTGGTGCCCCACCCCTTTAGCGAAGTGGCTCCCATTACCTTATAGAAAGTCCGGTACCGCCCGTTTCGGGTCTAGCGCGGCAATACCCATAACGTAATTCTCGAATATTGCCGAGTCAGAACTCGACGACCAAGGTCTCTTTGGCCCATCGTCCCAACTTCAACCTCCTCTTCAACCGGCATCTCGCGCGCGCGCAAGCAACGCCCATTTACCACCTAGCTATGCGGCACCGCAGTACTTCCTACACCTGCACGGCGCTGACCGCAGCCAAATGTCGAGTCGCAAGCAGCCCGGCTGCACGCAACTGTACACAACCAGCAACACCTCAGGAGACCCGCTGCTCTATCTGGAAGAGGGATAAACCTGCGACGCAACATCTACCAGGGGACCACCATCAACAGCATCATCCCTCATCCTAGAATCCGGAAGCTGCTAAGATATGCAGCCCATCATCAAGTTTGAGCGGGCAAAGAAGCGGATTCACCTCCTCCCGCTTTGCTCTCCCACTCACCACCAGGTCATTGTTAGCCTGCCGTTGTTCGGAACCATCAAGTCAAGCCACCACGCCAGCCATCAAGCGGACCAGCCCATGCCATGACACGGATCCAAATCATTACCTACAACTCAACCCACGGCCAAGGGATCGATCGTCCAACGATGACACAAATCACGGGCTGTCGTGTGCCGCCCCGAATCACCGCCGTTCCGCCGTTGCGCTTCAGGGTCCTTTCAACCCATCCCGCCCCTGTCATGTCACGCTTTTCCCGTTGGGACTCTTTGTCACTGGCTCCATCGATTCCAATCTCCATGCCGCCGGTCTAGACGACGTCTCCTCCCTCCGGCATGCTAGGTAGGAGGAGTCGATGCGAAAGACCATCCGCGCCTGTTCCGGTCACGCCCGATGAGCAAGGGACCTTGCCAGTCCCTGAACCTGAAGTGCGCCTTCTACTGCTATGTCACGGCCCCAATTTCCAAACCGGCATTGAAGAACTTGGATACTCTAACCAAAGACCTCACAACTCACCACTCTTCAAATAAGCCAAAGTCCAGATCTGGTGGACCGTGGACCAGCCTCAGTTCCTGGTAACGCGGGGTTGCGGGGCAATTGGCCTCCTGCGAATCATCGTCCCTGTTTCGCTGCTCATCATACCAACCATGCCAATCTCAAATGGACGTCGATTTATCCCACCCTCGGCACGAAAGAAACCGCCATTTGAGGAATCAGGGCCAGAGAAAAACCCACACACCACCACGACCGAATATCATCTTGGCCCAACCCACAGCATGTGTTCTACGGTCATCTTACCGCCGCCAGCAGTCGGCCAAACTGACACCTCCAAACAACTCGCTACTTGAGAGGACACCTTTAACCGCCATCCCCTGCCCGTCAAACGTCGAAATGCCACGTCGGCTCACCTGCCGAAAAAGGCCCCCAAAGGCTCTCGTGCTCTACCATCTTCTGACGTTCTTCGACAAATGACCTTGAAACTCAACAACTTAATTGACTCTTCTTCCCGCCTTCTCCTGCGGGAGACCCCCACGAATCCCTGCATGTCATGCCTTCCGACCGCCTCGCCTCAACAATTAGCAAGCCATAAACCTTCCCGAGAGACACATCCCTCGTGGGTGGGGGGGGGGGGGGTAACTTCATGTGTTGTGCGACATCGTGAACGCACACAGGTACCACTCACACAGCTCTAACCTAACAGGGGTTCATATAATCGCCCAGCTACTACTTACGTCATTGAGTTCCTAATCCCGCTAGTTTCACGATGCCAGCCCGGCGGCTCTATCGCTAGCGTTCCCGGTGGCCGTCGGCTCCGACCAGGTATAAATTGAATCGACAACTGCCTATTCGACCCAAGTGGCGAGTCTTGCCCGGTGAAGATATACCCGAAGTCTGTATTTCGGTCCGAGGCCATGATGGAACAGTGACACACCTCCATGTCCGCAACGGCTCGATTGCATGTGAAACGGCGTTAATGATATATCTGTACCTTATTCTCGTGGTTTCTCCGCGATCCTCACGACCTGCTGCATTTATAGACTCCACATTCTTCACGTGCTATGAGCCGAAAAGTCCTATTACCCCGCGGAGACGAAAACGCAAAGTTGCGGTAGTTCTGTCACTAGAAGTCTACAGGTTTCCATACAAAGTCTTTTCGAAACAAAAATGCTGCATCGACCGATTGAAAGAGGATGTCACGCCTGGGTGTTTGCAAGCGCCAGACGAGGCAACGGCGGCAAACTGAACGAGTTTCACCGCTCTCCCAAAAAGCACCAAAGCCGAATCAAACCGGTCAACCGCAACATTCGAGACAGCATGCGTCTAGTTCAACTTGGGAATTCGATTGGTCATTGATTCCTGTGATGCGACGAAGGCAGACTGGGCATAGTTGACCGACTCTGCTCTGCCTCGAATGGTCTAGAGCTGTATCGCCGGGCCACTGCAGAGGAGAGTGTGGCTCTGGGTGTTGATTGACGGTTTCCCGCCCTCCGCCCTCCACTTTCCGACATCATACTGTGATGGCATACTTGCTGATCATTATAGGTCAGAAGGTCGCGGCCCGACGATCTCCAACCGATGGGAATAGTCTTGGGTACGGATGTTGGACCGTCTTTCCTACAACTCAGTATGTCGGTTCGACATTTTACGTTTCTCATGGATTTATCCGTTCTTTGCACCGAATGCACTCGCCAGATCATCGCGGTTTAGACACACAAGGCCAGTCGTACTTACTGGTCTTGCACGAGTCTTGCGTATTCTCA